TATGATAGTCCTTTAGTTTAAAAATAGCTCTCATAATTACAGACTATATTGGACCTCTCATTTAAATTATATTCAGCTTCTGTATTCATATATAGATTATAGGAACCTCCTAATTAGTAAATGGACAATCATAGTGTCTTTATAATTATAGATCTCATTTAAAATAATAACAGTAGTATACTCATATAACTTACTATTAACAGGTTATATTATAAATAGCATGTTCTTTTTGTTTAAAATGTATTTTCATATTTGATTGTCTATTTAAACCACTTATGGACTGTTCCCTGACAGGACATTTTTCCAATAACCTAACGCTGGCCGTTTGATCACGTGTTCATGCATAACCTGCATAACACTGGCCAAATCTTTCAGGCAAATGTAATCCCGTCAGGAAATTGTGCCATAACCATTTAAACTAAAAGGTAATAATATGGCAGAAAATTTAGAGAAATAAAAATATATTTTAATTGCAATATTTTTTTACCGCTTTAAACTCCTAATCAAATTGTTAGAAAAGTTATTTTTAAAGTAAAATAGGTTTCTTCTATTTATTTCAAAGTTGTTATAATAAATATTATATAATATATGACTAATTTTTTTAAGTATCAAAATATTTGTCAGATTTATTAGATATTCAATTCATATTGCTCCTTTTGGATCGATTATACTATTTTATAATCCATACTTTCACCTTCTGTTATTATTTCTTCTTCACAATCTTTACTTTTATCTACTATTTCCCCTTCATATTCTATACATTCTTCATTATCACAAATTTCTAATTCAGTTAAATTTTCTGCTAAATCTCCTTTTAAAAGATTATCTTCCTCAATCTCATTAATTAAATCATAAATTGGAACATCTACTACTTGTACAGTATTATTCACTTTGTAATTTTCAATTTTGTTTAAAGCTATCTGACAATTTTCTAAATTTTTACTTACATTTTTATAATATTTCATCAAAATACAAATCATTCCATACTACAAACAAATTTTTTATTTAGATTATTAATAGCTTGTTCAAAATAATTACAAGATAAAAATGAATAATACTTACATTTTTTGTAGTTTTTTCATTAAATTGTTGTAATTGTTGTAATTTATTTTCAATTTTAATTTTATAATTCATCCAGAAATCATATAATCTTTTTAATTCTTGCACAATTAATGATATTTCTTCTTTAGACCGTTGTAAATTATTAAAATTTTTAATTGAATTGAATATAACTATTCGAGGTATATTATCCATTTTATCATTAATTGATATATCTAATATTTGCCAAAAATCTGACGTATGATTAACTATTTCATTAAATATTGCTTTTGGATAATCTTTACAAAATGAATTTTCTTGTGCAAGTAATCTGAAATATTCATAATATGAAATGTTTATTTCAATTTGTTTTGAAATATCTTTAATACTTGATTTAATTTTTAATGTTAACTTATGACCTAATAAAAATAAATATGGTTAAATAATATTTTAATAAATAAGTTAAGATTACAAATATATATAATTACCTATATGGTCTTGATTATATAATTGTGAATTTTTAAATATATATTCATTACGAAATTTTCTAAGCTTATCAGAAATTAAATCCAAATTACGTTCACAATAATCATGAAAATATTTGGAATATATAGGATTAAATGGATTCCATCTTTTTGATTCAGGTATATCTAAATCTGATTCACATTTTTCAACTTTTTTTATATATAATGAGCGAGATCTTTTTAATGATTCCAACTGTCTTTCAGAGTTAGCTTTTGATATTTCAATCCTAAAAAAATAATATTAGTATTTAGTAATATTAAAATAATTATTACTTGAATAAAATTAGTACATACTCATATAGATGTAATTCCATTAGGTTTAAGAAATACAACTCTTTTCCAATTAAATGTTGCCTAAAAACTAAAAATCTCATATATTAAAACTAATTTTTAAAAAATTAGCATAATAAAATACATAATATTTACCAAAATTGGATTCATACTGGCACTGAATATAATAAAGTATTTTACTTTCATCAATTCCATGCATTTGTTCCATTTCTTTTAATATTTTTACTGATACATTCATTATTTTATAAGCATTTTTAAACCTTTTAACTAAGTTACATGCTGATATAAAATAAAAATATAAATTAAAATATAAATATTTTAAATTATCATAAATTTAATTGAACATTACCTAAATTACTAATCATTTTTCTACTTATATGCTGAATTCCTTTTTCTAAAATATCCAATCTATGATGTGGTCTCATATATCTTGTTGTAGAAGAAAAGCGTCCTAAATATGACCACAGTCTTTCTAAACTTTCCCCATCAGTTAATCCTATGGAATTACAAGCCCTTGGGTGGTAATTTAATTGGCATTTCATTGAATGTGCATAGGCATGAAATATTGAAACACACCAATTAAATCGAGATTTGAATGGAAAAAGTCTACTTTCACTTTTTTCTACATGTGAATGAAGATTGCATGCAATATCATATAAGACAATAAATGTAGAAGAATCTTCATAAAACATATTATGTAAATCTGATAAAATATATTCTGCTAAAGAAAATCTATAAAAATGTAATTATATAATATGAATAACTAATGTTAATATCAAATGTTAATATTACAATAATATATAAATTACCTTTCACCAATTCCTTTTAAATTAATAAATTTTAAAGGAATGCCGTGCCTACATGTACTTCCAAATATTCCTGTATCGTCCAAATAATTGGATTTAAGGTTTGCTTTTGTTTGATTAGCCGCTTTAAAATGGCTGTCACATACATTTATTTGCTTAATGAAATAATAAATAATAAATAATTAATAATTAACAAATTAAAATAATAAATGAAGTTAAATAAACAACAAATATATATATAGAATACTTACCGCATTATTATTATTTATATTTAATGTATTTAATGAACTTAAATTAATCGAATTTTGTACCCATTCATCATATTTATTTTGGTTTAAAATAAATGATTCTTCAATTATTCTTTCACCAATATTAGAACCAGCACTTTTCATTCGTTTAAGTTGAAAATTAGCATCCAATGCAATTATAATTTTAGAGTTTTTCTCTTCTGGCTATAATTAAATTTGTTTATTAATTCAAAATATAATGTAAAAAAGTTTTTAAAAATATAAATGGGAAGTAAATCAAGCAAAAAATAAAGTTACCTGTGGACAAGCTGGACAATTAAATTGTGATTTACTACTAAATAACTTATTAATAGTATTTTCAATCATAGTTTTTAATCCTAAATATTGATGAAAAGCAGATTTAAAAAGATAATATATGTTCTAATAATAATAAAAACATATTAGTAAACTATATAACATTAATATAATGAAATTTTTTAAAAACTTAACTCTAGTTATATCTTGATCAGAGAATAATGATTCTAATACTCGACAAAATGAAAGATATGATACATGTGCTTCGAGTAATAATTCTTGATAAATATCAAATAATTCAAATGAGAAAGCAACTTGTGGATTTATAGGGGTGGAAGGAAATAATTTATGCCTGATTAATGTTTCAACCAAACCTTCACAAGTTGGAAATTTTGCTTTAAATATTCCTATTTAATGCAATATTTATTTAATTGAAAATTTTATTAAAGTATAACAAATAAGATTTATACTTTACCTTTTAAATTAATGATTGATATTTCCTTAATTTCATGCTCACAAAATCCTGTACATAATTGTGGTAGTTTTATTTCTTCTTTATCAAAAATAATACTTATAAAAACTTTTCTATGAAATAAATTTATATCCTTATGATATAAAGTATTACACTCTAAACACAAATAAGTATTAAGACCACAATCTAAACAATAACAAATGGCAGGTGAATTACATTTGAAGCATTTGGAGTCCTTATTAATTGCATTATTTTCTATCATAATGTCAAATAATTTTGGTGAGATTTTTCTCCAATTTTCGGACAAATTTTTTTGAGCATTTTTATATGTATTTTTAGCAGAACTATAGTTTTCATCTTCTTTTATAATATCAATATCTATCCATTCATCATTGTTTCTATCTTCATCCACTATTTCAGTAGATTTATATATATTTTCAGATAAATTTTTGGCTCGATATTTGTTACTTCCTTTTGCATATCGATTAATAACTACTTTTTTTGCATTTTTTTTATTTGAAGAAACTAAATAAGGCCTGTAACTAATTTTACCTAAAAATAAAAGATATTAAGTAACAATTTAAATATATTTCTTTAATAACAATAATATAAATACCTTTTTTATTCAAATTTCCTTTATTCATATTAAATATGTAAAAAGAATAAATTTACAAAAAAAAAAATTTTCGGGATTGATCAAACTAAATTAGCCAATTAGACTACTTGCTGCAGATCAAATCTATTTATAAAATAAAAGCAGATTAGCAGATATTACCATAAGTACCTTATAACACTGCCTAATACCTTAGGTATAAATCAATTTACCAGGTTTAAAACATTTAATTAGATCGGGTGTATACATACATCCTGCTGTATTAAACAAATTTAATGTACGAAAGATTTCATTCAACTTATAGTAATGGTTTAATGGTTTAATATTCTTAATTTAAGAAAATAAAAAAAATCTATATATTATGATATTTTGGGTCGGTATTAAATATAGAAGCTAAAATGGGCCTTTTAAGCAATGCACGGTAACTTTAATTTATACTGAACTATTACTTTAAGAATCTTTTATTTCAATAATTTTAATAATATTTAGTAAAGATTTTATAATAATTCCCTACTTCAAAAAAAAAAA